AAAACTGGCTGCGTCCTTAAAGTTTCAGGAGTGGAAAAGCACCTGAATGGAGCCTGAGTGTGTTTTCAGTGGGGTCTAGAAGCAGTAGGAGATCCTGTCCTTCCCTTTCCATCTCTTCTCTTCTCCACAGCAACAGTTGATAGCTGAGAAGATTGGGAGTTTTCCAACACAAACTTTGATTGATTAGAAATATGGCCAGTGAGGACAAAGTGCCTTTTGAAATACCATCAGTTTTGAAAAGCTTTAAGGTTTCTCCGGTCACAGGTGGAACACATGGTTAAGAAGGACTGCAGAATCATAGGTACTGCTTACTTTCTTTTACATCTTCTCTTGCACATGTATTTTTCTCCTGATTAGAAAACCGAGACAGATGAAGTATGCAGTATCAGCCATGAATACAAAGGTGGAGCCATAAACAGAGCCATAAGCCCCAAGTCTTAGGACAGTACAATTTCCAGTGAGTCATACCCCCTCCTTCAAAAGGTTGAACCAAAAGGGACAAGTGTGAATCAGCAAGTACATCCCTTTTCAACAGCTGCAACTACAAAGCAGTCTCTTGTGGTTGGGAGGGAAGGGGCCAACGTGCCTAGAAAAGACAGGCTGTGAGCAGCTGTTGCAGTGCATATGTAAAAGCACTTGAAGACCGAAAGTGGGAAATTAGAATAATACATTTTGGGTTTATAGCTGAAATTGGGCTACAGGTGAGAATTGCTACAGAAACAGGTAAACAGACCCAGAAAATTTGAAAGCCTGCATTAGGCCGAGAATGAGTGTTGCTGGCTCTTAGTTTTCCCCTGAGATTGAATCAAGCCTGTGATCAGGCAGATCAAGTCTGTGTGTGAAGGTTTGTAAACATTTATAGAAATCCCTAGGGTCTGAGCTGTACATTACAGAAACAAATGATGATGAACGCCAAGACCTTTCTGTTTCAGACTAAATTTATTTTCGTGGGCAAGTTCTTAATTAGCAGCATGTTGTTTGCTTGGTCCTTACTTGAGAATATCTTCTTGATGTCAGTGGGTAAAAAGCTAGTAATGCAAAAGTACATCTTGCAGGCCGTCTGGTCTAACCTGTCCCAGCACAGAAAGATGTTTGCTGTGTGCTACTTTAATACAGGTGCTGTCTGTGCACAAAGCCATTATACTCTTTCTGAATATACCTGAGGGCAGCACACTACTGGTATGTGTGCCAATGTATGTATACTGTGCAATGTATGCCCCCGTGTTTCTCAGCTCTCCTCAGGGTGTGGGTGAACCCCTGGGCCCAGCTTGGGACATCTGTTGGAGATGAGGAGATGGTGGTGAGGAGGCTGGGGAAAGCAGGAGGTGACTGAGGGGAAGATGGTGGTGTTCGCTCCCAGTGCTGAGGAGACGGGGCAGCAGCGGAGCTGCCCTCTAGCTGCGTTAATTTGGCTCCTCGCTGGTGCCAGGGAGGGCTGGATTTTGGGAGGAAAAGCCCCCTGCAGCGAGGGAAGCCATGTTGGGGAGGGCGGTGAGGTGAGGTGTTTCCATGGCGACCCAGAGAAATGGCCACCAGCCCTTCCTGGGCAGGGGGGCTGAGGGACGCAGGGCCGAGGGGTGCTGTGCGCAGGCCCCAGCGGCACCCAAACACCTGCCGAGGCAGCAGGCACCTGTCACAATACCATGTTAGCACAACTAGTGGCAAGAAATCCCTTTTTTTGAAAAGTTTTTATTTGGAGAGGCTGGGTAGTGCAGATGAATGTCTCCACGCGTGGGTGGGAAGGAGAGGTGAGGCCTGCGCCGTCCCGCTGGCAGAGGACATGGCGGCGGCGGCCCTGGCTCCTCAGCTGTAGTATAAACTCAGGTAGGCCACTCGGTTCCGGTGTTTCCTGAATTCTTTGTCTGTGGTCATCTACAAGACAACTAATATCTGTTAGATATTGGCAATGACAATTGCTTCAGAAGAGTGCAGGAAGATGTGAACTTTAACCTATGTTTTAAATCAAAAAGGTTTTCTTTTCAGCAGAGTTACACAGGGAAGTACGTGCTCTAGTTCTCTCACTTTGTGGATGGAAACTTCCAGAGCAAATTTCTCAATAGAAGGCTTTTTGGAACTGTGTTTGCAAACCAGCATTTTCTGGTAGAAAATCACTTTGTATCTTGTGCCCCAGGCTAGTACAGCCACGTACCGAACAGGCCAGTGAAGAAAGGATGACAAAACATAGTGCAAATGAGTTGATGTAGTCATAGAATCATAAAATCATTATGGTTGGAAGAGACCTCAAAGATCATCAAGTCCAACCGTATACCCGATGCCACCATGTCCGCTAAACCCACTAAACCACGTCTCGAAGAGAGGAAATCATATGATTTCCTTTGTCAGAAGGATAACATCCCGTTATCCCTGTCCTTACCTTCTGTACCTCCATTTTCAGCATCTTCCTTGATGGCATTTTCACTAAAGACCAGTCTGGAGACCCAAACTTCATTGGCCAAGTGATTTTTTTGTGTAATTGCTTGTCTGCTTCGTAAGTTCCAGGTCTAAAGAAAACAGGCACAAAATTTCTCATTTCTGGAGCTGGTGTATGATGTTTGTAATACTGGAATTTACGAGCTGTACCTTGATCCATGGGAGAAATACATGTGGTATTCTAGTCATCATGCTAAGTAACGACTAAAGCAGGGGAGCTTTTTGAAGATAAAAAAGCATTATTGGGAACTCAGTTACCTATCTCCCATTTGTGTCTTAGTATTTCTCTCTGCTAGTACTCCTGCTTATTATTAAAAGTGTAAGAAAATGAGTTACATTACCCAGGGAAGAATTCTTTATCTGAAGGCTTCTCTGGAAATCGTGGTGTCTTAATGGAAAATGGAGCATAGGAAGGCTGGCATTTTCTCTCTTTCTTCCAGAATGACTGGTAGGTTGCTGGGCCAGGAGTCACAGTCTGCAAGAGATAAAAGTTCTATACAGAAGATTTTGTTCTGCACACTGTTCCTACCTGCTCTGATCAGCAGCCAGCTGCACTTTACAGACCTGCTGTTCAATGTATGCTTTGGCTCTGTGATAGCGTAAAAAAAAATCAGAACGAGTCAATTATGACTATGATTATGCACTCCCTATTCTTTACCCAGTGTGTCCTGTGATGTCTCTCCTAATATATTGTTATTCTAGAGAAGCTGGGCCAGAAAACGTAGTGTGTTTGTTCAGGTAGTATTGCTGAGCTCCCTTCCTGATTTTGCCTCAATATGTGCATTTACATGTGTGTGTATGTGATATAAAGGAATGCGTATATACAAACGCATGTGTTGATGTTGCCAGAGCTCATATGATCAATCATCACTCTCTAGGCTCAACACCTCCCACTAGACTATGTGTAAGGAGATCTGTAGCTACCGTATATATTAAGTTGGAGGCAGCCCCAGCAAATGTGATTGAAACCGATAGTCTATGCTGGGAACAGCCTACAAATTCTTGCAACACTGCAGCTCTGCCGCTTTGAAGTGTGCTTTTCTTACCTGTGGCTCTGGTTTGAAGCGCTGGGCTGTTCTCGCTCCTATCACATAGCCTTTCTTGCTCAGTGGTTTGTTTTCCAAAGAGTATCTGAAGTTGCTTCTCTGCAATTCAAAAGCAGAAGTGCCTTACTGACATTTTTAAGACGCCATTTGCATCAGGGGAAGGGCAGAAGTACCTAAGCAGCAGATGTTATTCCTATTAATTCCTCTAATTTCTCACTAATGTGGAGCACTAGGGCAGCTGGACCTTTGGGGACTAGTACATTTGGAAGGGGAGGGGAAATTCTTTTTCTAGGTATATGTGGAGACTTTGTACAATGGGTTTGCAGGGCAGGTGTGGGGGACTCCGTGTCTGGCTGGCCATGGTCCTGTTGCTCCTGTACTGTGTGTCTTCTGTGAAGGAAAAGCTCTGAGCGCAAAAACTGAACAACTTACCTCTTGACTCAGGTAACAGCCTGGCCCAAGAGACGGGGCTCCCCTGATCGGCATCAGCTGGATTCCCAGCCTGTCTGGGGCATGGTGGAGAGGGAACATTTTCCGCTCTTGACATGACCCAAATGAGACCCGCTTCTGCACATCTGTGAGATCTGGAGAGAGAAATGCCACCAGTGTGATAAACCCATGCGGAGGTGACCACTTGCTGCCTTTTTTTCCTTCTTAAGTGTCTGCTGCTCTCTGCCTGAGGCCAGCCCTCTCTTTATCTCCCAGATGGGAATTTCCCCTCACCCTGGATATTTGTGAGGGATCTGCCCTTTGGATGCCTGTTCCCTCTTGCCACAAAGGCTTCTTTTTCCCCAGCCTGAGCAAACAGTAGCCTAGCAGCCCAGGTGTGGGGAAGGCTGCTGGGGAAGCCTGATGCCACTGGGGAGCTTTGCGAGAAGGAAAGCCCTCATACCCACAGCCCCCCATGGGTGCAGGCACCTCGCACAGCTCACCTCTCGGCTCCCACTCCGCTGCCATGCTGCCTTGCCAGACGAGTCAGGATGTGTGTGTACTCCAGTTGCTATAGTCACGGAACAGGGGGTGCTGGAGGGAATGCTGGCAGTGGCAGCGCCTGAAGGGTGCAGGGAGAAGAGGGAGATTAATAACATCCCTGTGGGTTGCACTGTGCTGGCGCCTGCTCCGAGGAGCTGCTGGTTTTACGCTGTCAGTCAGTAGGGGAGAGGTCTTGGGGGAAGCAGTCTATAGATTGTGCCGTCAGGACCCTTCTCTGTGATCTCTCTTGTCACGCAGCCTCATCTGCCCCATTGTCCTCTCTCTGTCTTTTTCCCTGTCCCTGCCTGTCATGGTAGGGCAGAAGAAACCCCTGGAAAATACCGTACTGGAATTAAGTCCAGCTTGTGGATTCAGGCCCTTCCCTGAGCACAAGTGTGAGTATCCTGAGAGAATCAGGGAGCATCAAAATATTAAGAGCAAAATGAGTGGAAACAGTGAGGATTGTTGCTTTTTCAGAACACTTTATTTAATCATTCTTATTCCGTGCAATTAGATCAGAGAGGTCTGTTTGCTGTAATAGGATTAGTATCTTCATGGCCAGTTGCAGCAGGAGCAGCTGGCATCAAAGACGAGACCATCACTGCAGTTCTGCACATAGGTTCTGCCGTTAAGGCAGTTGTAGAAGAGGCTCTTGTTGGTTGGATCTGCATAGATGCCGTTGGCCTTGCCAGCACAGAAGCCACTACCAGCAGAGCCCCCACTCCCACTTCCACTCCCACTTCCACTCCCACTCCCACTTCCACTTCCACTTCCACCTGGATTAGAGGGAGGTTCAGTGACGGGAGAGCTGGGCTGAGTCGAAGGCACACAGTCTGAAACAAAAGCAGGGAAGGGCTTATTTTTGTGTTTACAGTCTCTCAGCCCTCGCCTCCCTTCATAGGCCCTTTAGTGGTGGGGTCAGCTATTAAAGTGTGTTTCCCCAAAGTCTGGCCTGGCTCACACCAGGCCTTTGAAACATCTGGACCCAGGGCCAAGTTACAATCTCCCTCTTTTATCCCTGGGGATACAGAGTGACCGGATCTTTCCAGGGCAATCTCTAGTTGTGGCTTCCACAGAAAGTCTTTATCCACAAAGGCTCCAGAGATAAAGGTTCACAGGTCTCCGAAGCCCTGCATCAGCAGTGAGCTAGGGAGTCACCTTCAAGAAGTACATGCTACTCAAGCTACTCACTGCCATTTTGCTGTCCAAGACCATTCTTCAGGGTGGTGATCAGGGGATATTTGCCTTCCTTGCAGAAAGTGCCAGTGAAGTCATCCAGATCAAGGGCCCAAACCATAGCACCTCCAAAATTGTTCTTCTTCAGCCAGTCAACCTGTTCAGTGCCAGGGGAGAAATCCCAATTAGTTCCGGCACCTGCTACTGCAGAAGGCCTCTTGCCTTATTATTAGCACAGCCACACATCCCACCATACCTTGATGTTGAAGCTCTTGATGTTGTCATAGCCAACCCATTCGTTGCCCTTGTAGGCATAGGGCACATCCTGGGGGGCATCCCAAGCCTGGGTGGCTCCAGAGTCCAGGAATGTGCAGATCTAGGAAAAAAGGGCGGAGAGGGAGAAGTTAGCAAGTGTCCTACAAAAAAAGGACAGTTAGAATATTACAGGGGTTAAAAATTCCTTGCTGGGAAGTTTGAGGACTGTTTTTGTTGTTCTTGGTGGCCGAGGTGTGAGGGAACACACATACTTCATAGTAAGCCAGAGTCCCAGCCTGCCGTGTGTAAGGTCCAGCTGGCCCAGCTCCTGATGATGGTGCCCCAACAGCAGTGTCAGATGGGTTTTGGAGGTTGAAGTCATGTCCATAGGTTGGGAATCCAACAATCAGCTTCTCAGCTGGAGCACCATTGTTCTTCCAATAGTCCATAGCATATTGCTATAAAGAAAAAAAATCACAGTTGAAGTCTGTGCCAGAATTTGTAGACAGGAAGATGACTTCTCTGACAGAGGCTCCCAAAATATACTTACAACACTGAAGTACTTGTTACTGCCACTGTACAGGGGGCTATTCTCCCCAGTTTGTCCATCCCCAGGGGTATAGAAGTCGTAAGTCATCACATGGAAGTAGTCCAGGTACCTGTGGAGAACATTGTGCACATCTATCTCCTGGCCTGCTCAGCCACCCAGACCTGGTTCTTCCTTTAGTACTGGCTGTTTACCCCACCACATCCCTGGCCATGTCCCCGCTTTCTGCAGATCTGGTTTCTTCAAGACCTTTTTTGAGCTGGCCTTGTAAATGCTGGAGCCAATTCTCTCCTCCAGAGGAGGGAGGCAGAGGTCAAGGCAGAGTGGGAATTATGCTGGTATTCTGGGAACCGAGAGATGTTCCCTGATGGCATTGAGTGGCTGGAGCCAGCCTGTCGTTACACTTGCCTTCCCGAGGTGTCCCCTTCCCCACCAAACAAGCACCACTCTCAAAAGAGTAGGGACCCCACAGGTTGGTTTCTGCTAGATAATGGCAGAGTTTTACTTAAACACTTGAAGGAAGACCACTTAAATCACAGACACCATACCTGAGGGTTTGCTACTCACTTTCCAAGCTCAGCAATCTCGTAGCCAGCCTCAATGTTGGAAATTCCTGCAGCAACAGCCGCGGTGACCATGAGACGGGGCTTGTTGACCTGTTTGGCTTCCTGCTCAAAGGCTGCCAGCATTTCCTGAGGGATGCCAAGAAAGAGGTCTCACCATGGACTCTCTGAGCTGAGGCTTCACAGCCAGAGGTGTGCAGAGCAGAGGGCTTGACCAAAACGTACCTTAACCAGTACAGTAAAGAGAGACTTGTCCTGGGCTGGGCTGCCCCTGGACCCAGGGTATTCCCAGTCAATGTCCAGCCCATCAAAGTCATACTGGCGCAGGAATTTGATGACAGAATTGATGAAGGTCTGGCGGTTCTCGGGAGTGGAAACCATTGTGGAGAACCTAGGGAAGCAGAGCAGGACAGAGTTGGGTTTTGGTTGGTGCCTCTTCCCCCCTCTCCCTTCCTTTCCAGGGTGCTGTTATGGGAAGGAGATGGTTGGAACTTACTTCTGTGTCCCGAAATTCCATCCTCCAATCGCGAGGAGGGTCTTCAGGTTTTTGTTCCTGCAAAGGAAGGGACAGGACATGACCTGTTGGTGTGAAACCCGAAAAGCAAGTCCGCAGTGCACTGAGTCACTGTCACCATCCTCGGAGGACTGGTGCTGGCAGCCTGCCCTGCCCTGCCCTCCCCGTCACTGCCTTTTCTCCTTGGCATCCCTCGACCGTGGATTGAGCTGCCATTGTACAGAGAACAGACTCTGAGTAATGGGGCAAGACCTGAGAGGGAGAGCAAGTGATGCCCTCTGCTCTCCGTACGTACTGGTTCTTCAAGCCATTGAAGGATTTGTAAAGGGTCTCGTCATTCCATTCGTAAGTTGTGATCTCATTGTTGGACATCCCAGCAAAGGCATAGATCAGATGGTCGCAGAGGCATGGGTCGATGTTGTCAGGCATGAATTTTCCCAGGCCAGGCCTATACTGCGCCCAGTTGGTGAAGTAACATGTCAGCAGATAGGCAGTGCCTGCAGAGAAATAGAGGAGGTGGGGTAGATCTGCGCTGAAGAGATACTAGTAACTTCAGGCAGAGTATCATGACTAGATGTGATGAGAAACGATTGAGCAATGTTTCCTTGCAGGGTACGAGTTCAGGGAAAGTGAAGTAGGGTTGGTTAGCCCTCGGAGAAGTGGCTCTCCAGGACAATAATGTTTGTTTCCTTCCTGCTTTGTTTCAGTAGATGAGTCAGTCTGGGAGCCTCTCCTACCCCTACACTCAAGAGCCAGGGTCTCTTCCCCAAACGGAATCTTTCTCCTTTGCTGCCAGGTAAGGAAGAACAGAGGCAGAAGGGATCTCTGAGGAAGTGCTGGGAAGGGGGAAAGCTCTTTGTGTGTTTGCTCTGCCGCCTGTCTGACCTGCCTGTGTATGCCGATGCTGAGAAGGGTTTGGTAGAGTTGTTTTCTGGAAGAAAGCACATCCCTATCTGG